GCCCTGGGACACCGGAGCGCCCCGGCTGTGCGTGAGCAGAGCGGTAGCCCGCAGCCCCCCCTGCCTGCCTCGCCAGCCCCATCGCCTCCCGGACCACCCTGCCCCAGACCACCCCTCCCTCTTTCCACCCCCGCCCCTCTCACCTTGCCAATCAGCTTCCCCTTCTTGTTCATGCAGATGTAGAACCCGGTCTCGGCCCCTTTGATGCGCACGCGGCTCCCGAACGTGTCCGTCTCCACAATGAGCTTGGCTGGAGGGAAGGAGAAATACCAGGTGAGAGCGACGGGGGCCGGCAGGCACCCCCCCACATGGAGGGAATGCACCGATCCCTGGCCCCCAGCCCACCGGCACCATGCCTGACCGAGCACCCCATGACCACGTCGGGTTCCCGTTACGGCTGATCACCGGGGGGCCGAAAGGCACGCATGGGGCCGGGGGAGCCGCCTCACTGCCAGGCTTGCAGGAAGGCTGGCCTAGTGGTTAGGGCGCTGTTTGGGACCAAGGAGATCAGATTCCCTGGGTGACCGTGGGCCAAGCCCTCAGTGGCTCTGTGCCTCAGTTTCCCTTCTGTAAGAAGAGGATTACGGCACTTCTGTGCTTCACAGTAAGATCCTGCGACTCGGAGCACCGGGGCCGCATCAGGCCCACCGAGACGGATTGGGTGCTGATGGGCCGGGGAGGGACACAGACCGGAGATCCGAATCCAAGCCGGGGGAGGGAAGGAAGGAAGAGCTGCTTAATCCGCCTTGCATACGCCCCCCAGTGCAGTGCAGGCCCCCACTCAGCACCCCAGCCCTGGCCTGCCCATACTGCTCCACTGAGCGGGAGGAATGAAGCAACCGCCCCCCTTCCCCCCGGAGTAGAAACCAGGCCCCCTTGCAGAACTGCTCTCGTCTTGGCCTCGTGCTGCTGGCTGTCCAATAGCGCCCGCGCTCCACCCCAGAGCCAGCCGCACTGCCCATCGCCTCGCTCACCCCGGCTCTGCCGCCGGGAACAGCCCTGCTGGGGCTCCGGGGCCCGTGGGGAGGCAGGTGCTGGATCAACGGGAGGGGCTGGGGCTTTTTAAAGAGGCAACGAAACCCCTTCTAGAGACCACAGAGGAGAAACGTGCCGAGGACCCGACTGGCACCTCCTGGGGAGGAACCCGGCAGCGCCTCGCGCTGGGCGCCAGGGGAATTCCTGCCACCGATGCACCCAGGGCACGGAAGCCGGGAGAAAGGATGGGTCTCCGGCCCGTGCCCGAGGGCAGCCGGGCTCAGCAACGTTACTGAGCATGCTCAGGGCAAACCGAGCGGCAAATCTTGGGGGGGACACGTGACCCCACGTGCCCCCTCCCACATCAACGTTCCCTCTACTTTGTTCCATCCACATGCAGAATAAGTTTTGTTCTGTGCACCAAGACGTGTGGATGTGCACCACAATGGGAACACCTGCTGCCGGCTGGGGACGCTCTGCTCATTGGTTGGGCGGCACTTGAGTCTTTCCTGGATGGCCGCCCATGCTCCCCGCTTACAGGGAACACTGCCCCCCGTCCCCTCCCCCCTCCCTCTCACCTCTCCGGGCTAGCTTGCGTAGGCACGCTGCCCGTCAGGCCAGGCCTTGCCTTCAGGACCCTACGCTGCTCAGGCAGCACAGGCCTGCCCAGCATGCTGCCCGGCTCTCCGGCTGCCACCACGAAAGCCCTTTGAAAAGCCTCCCCGGTAGCCAGACCCCCGTGCGAGAGGGGCTTCCACGTGCAAGGAGGCCCCAGCTGGGGAGCACAGGTCAGCTCGAGCGCCGCAAGGCCCCCGGGTGAGCGAACACGTCTCCGAGACCCCTCCCGGTGCCAGCGCAGCCTCCCAGCCCCCGACGGTCCGGACTGGACCAGCGCCCTGCTGTGGGGCTCTGGCATTCAAAGCCCACTGCTGCCATACGCGCCCTGACTGGGTCCCTCCCCCGGCTGCACTTTGAACTATGGGCTGAAATGAGCGACAGGCCGACCCCCCCCCCATCTCCTCTCCTTGGACCGGCACCTCCCGGAACGCGCCGGCGCCACCCAAACGTCTCCAAACGCACAACGGGAGCCGAGGCCCTGCCATGGGGACCCCCCTCCGCGATCTGCCCCTGGGGGGACCCGGGAGCGGAATTGATCGGAGAGGCAGTAAAAGGTTTAAAGAGCATTGATTTTCTTTCCCTTTGCCGATCGATTGACAGATCAGGGGTGGGGGAGGGAGTGGGGGGCAACCCCACAGCTCTAAAGATGCACATCTCTTTCCTTTCCACCGTCCCCCCTGATTTATAGCCCTGTTGGTCACTTTTGCTTCCCCGCACCAGCCTGGCCAGGGAGCGGCTCGGAAGCCGGGCAGCTGCTCACGCCGAGGGCCCTGTAAGAACTCGGCTCCCGAGAAACAATAGAGGCACAAAAGAAAAGACAAATTCCCGGCTGGTCCCAGGGCTGTACGCTGGAGCTGGGCAATTTGCACCCTCCAGAACCAAATCCCCAGCCCCCAAAGGTGCCGCCCGAATAAATCCTATAGAACTTGGAGTCTTTCGAGATGGTGGTGGATCCCCCAGAAACAAGTCCCAAGTCACTTGGCCTGCAGACATTTTAATCCAGATTAAAGCCACTCGGTGCTGGGTTTTGCCAAAGACGCCGCTCCGAGAGGACGAGGCGGCTTTATGATCCATCCCGCTTGCCCGTAATTAAAAAGTCGGTCAAATATTGACAATTAAGACAGATACCTAAGAGCAGTGCACGACATTAAATCGGCAGTAAAAACATCACGGTGGGGAAAGCGGTCAGTTTCAGAAATAAATCAACCCTTTGATTCCCATCCGAAAAATATAATCCAAAACGCTTACATTTTTAAATGTTTCTTAAAGGAGCCTTTTAAATAATAGTTGTTGGGGTTGATTTTTTTTTTTTAAAAAAAAGCTTAACATATTCCACTCTATTCTTCCACTTAAGTGACAGATTTATCCCAGTAAAATTATGTTTCATGCTAAAACTTTGAAGGGAAAGTGGCTACGTAAATGCAGAAAAAATGCAGCGAGACACACTTGATCCCCTAACTGGACTGCGAAGAGGAGAAAATATTCAGGAAATGTTAAAAAAGGTGAAAGTCAGAAGAGTTTTAATAGCTCTTCCAGACATGGGGGTCTCTCTAGAGATTCATATAGAACAATCCTGAACCTCTATTTTAACATTTACAGACTTGCAACTCTTTTAAAACTTTACATCTGAAAAACTGCTTGTTCTTTTTCTGTTTTAGATCATTCTTTTTTTTTCTTAGCTCTTCAAATACTTAACCTTTTTCTTATTACTTTTTAATAGAGTTTTTCAAGCCGCCACTAGGCATTCCCTCTTGCTGGCTTTGTTTTACTTGGTCATTATTTAAATGTGCTAGAGGGGCTCTTCTTCCAAAATATAGCTCTGCCTATATATATATATATATAAACAAGAAGAGATTTGTGTGTGTGTGTTTCCTGGGAAATAAGCTAATACTCTTTCAAGTGGGAGCTGCTTTTATGCCAGGGATATTTCATTCGAAAGGTTAACCCAGAGCAAGATGTGAAATCCACACTTTGCTTTAACGACGAACGTTCATCATAAAATTTGCAGCCAAACCAAAATATATAGATTTTCCGCTAATCTCTCTGAGCAAGAAAGGGAAATTGCAGCTAATACCAAAGACAAACCGTCAGGATTCTAATGGGCAGCACATCTAAATACGTACACACTGCCACTGAATTTGCCGGGACCCGGCCTGGCCCGTCATCGCTGCGTCCCACGTGGACTTTGAGAGCACCAAAGGGCTGCAACAATTCAGTGGCCGCCGCGCAGCTAAGCCCCCGACCTCTTGTGTGCGTTTGGCCATTCGATTGTGTCATTAACACGCAATGATCAAAGTATTTAGCCTCTCACACCTCACCGGCCTGCTCCGGCCCCCGCACCCTTTCCCCGGGGGAGAGGGGAGCTGAGGGAGGGGTCTCCGATGGGTGCCCTCTGCAGGGGGAATCCTTCCCTGGACTCCTGTCCAGTTCCACAGCCTCCTTGGCAGTATCTCCCCTGCCCTCCCTGCCGCCTGGCTAGCCTGGGGCACAGGGAAGGGCCATCTCCCATTCCGGAGTTAGTTCTAATTTGTTCCCCCGTCCGACAAACCCTAACTCCGGTTTGGTTCTTTCCAAGGGAATATTTACAGCCACATCTGTCCTGCAGCAGTCGGCAGGCCCCCAGCGCAGGTGTAAAGACCCCCTCACGGCACCTAGTCCTGCTGCAGTGTCACCTGGAACACGCCTCCGTCCTGAGCTCGGAAGCGGAGTCTTCTTACAAGCCTTGACCCCCGGCCTCCCCTCTGCCAGGCCCCACACCCCAAATAATCCCAGTGATTTCTGGCTAACGAACAGGGCAGGACCCGTCCACTACTACACGGCACTGGTAACGCTCCCCCCGCCTGTCCCGCCACGTGTCCTTACCATGAGCGTCTCCGTCCTCTGCCATGGCATTGATTTTCTTGTTCTCCAGAACTTGCACATGCTTCCCGCTGGTCCGGCTGTACAGCTGGTAGGTGCGGACGAGCCGTCGGCTGAGCTGATCCGTCACCAGGCTCTGCTCCCTCACATGCTGTGTAAAATTAGGTGGGGACTGAACAGTTACCTTTAGGAAATTAAAAAATATACAACACACCATTATAATCTCTGCTCCTCCGAGGGGCCACGGGGGCGGCGTGGCGCTCGCCAGCCTCCAGCGGGGGGGTTACGCGGCAGCGAGTTTCTACGGTGCAGAGCCAGGGCCGCCACGGGCTTTCCAAACGCCAAGTGCTGCCCGAATACGAGCCAGCGGCCAGAAGGGAATCACAGGCTCCGGAGAGGAGCAGGCGATTCTAGTTTGGCAGGGCAGCTGCAGGGCCGTTCCGTGGACTGGAGAGGAGTTACTTGGTCCACGCTGGGGCGTACGGGGCATGGGCCCCGAGGAGCAAACTCTTCTCATCTACACTGTCAGCGAGCCACTGCATCTAGGGGAGTCTCTCCGGATTTCCTCCAAAGCGACCGCAGCATCTGTGCCGCTAAATGCTACGGGTCCAGACGTCTTCCCTGGGCAGAGTGGCTCTCACATCACGTCCCCGAGTCCTAAGCTGTCCCCAAACCCAGTGCCCGTCGATGTAGGCAAGATCGTTCCCGTTGGTTTGTAACAACCGCTTTCCCCTCCGGCCCTTTGCTCTTTTTTTTCCTGCGCTCTCCAGCAGCCCCTCTTGACTTTTGAGTCCCCTTCCAGGGAAAAGTCACAGATCAAGGCTGAGCCTGCAACTGCACCAAGGGGACTGTGTCCGCGCCCAGAATCGCCAAGGGCGCAGAAAGCAAACGCGGCCACAAATCGCCCCCCGCCGGGCCCCGGCCCTCGGGAGCA